GTGGTGTGTCCAGGGAAAAGGCAGGATGATAGAGTATCTACAGGGAAAAGAGGGCTCCTGATGCGAGGTCTTTGAAAAGGACAATGTCCATTATGACTCTACATTGTTCACCTTTGTTTTTGCATTGTTCTTCTTGCTTCTCCAGAAATTTCCTACATAAATCTCTCCTTTGAGTAAAAGAAATGTGGACTACTGGGCACCTACCCATCAGAGAAAGTTGAATACAGAAAACTCCAGGGATGTGGGTAACTGACCTAGGGGCTTGGTCTTGGGCTGATGGAGTCTCACAGCCAGGGTCACCCAAGAAAGGAAGATATAAGTCACCAATTCTCACTAAAGAGATAGGAAGGTCTGGTGGGTACTGCTGATACCAAGACCTTATAGAAATGATGTGAGGTTGAGGCAGGTGGGAGATGGAATAGCAACATGATTATTTTGGATCAATGCTGAGAGAGGAAGAGATAAGTCCAACACTGGGATGAAAGAGTGAGATTTTAGGGACCAAAAGGACTTATGCAAAAAACAAACAACCAAAAAAACAAGCAGTAGGGCTGATTGGGAGCACCTTTGGCTGGAGGGGGGTACTCAGGGGCACAGCAGCTTTGTCATAAACAGAAAGGATCAATTCAAATGAATTATGCATTAGAACTTTTACATTTAAGAAAATTTTTATTTGAATTATGTTTTCACCATCCCTTTAAGAAGAATAAAACGTCACCACCAATCTTCAGATTTACTTATTGATGTTGATTCATCTAAGATAGTTTTCAGTGATTGATGCTCTAGGTCTGCATGGGAAGGTCTCTGAGGGTTGATCTCAGAAGCATGCAGGGCTGGAAATGTGTCTTCAGAGAGGTTGGCTAGAGCTTTCTGAAAAGAGTAAACCTCAGCAACATTCAGGAATCGTTTGTGTCTATGTCTTGTATGTGTGTGTGTGTTCATGTGTTCACATTATAAAAATTTATCAAGATGTGCACCTGAAATTTGTGTATTTCACAGGATCTGTGTAGTGATTCAAAATTTCAACCAAGAATTGAGAGAAAAGGCAGTACGGTTAAATGTTTGGAGAAATCAAGTGAAAGAACAAATTAAAAGACATTGCTGAATTGGCAACAGATCCTTGATGAAGACCACTGTTGATCTTTGCAAGTAAGTTTCAGTATTATTAGGTTGAGTGAAACAAAATATTTTTTTTTTTTTCAATCACACAAGAGGAGGTTTATTTTCTGGCTAGCCAGGGTCCAAACCCCAGAGGGCCAACGCAGTGGCCACTCTCACAGGCAAGGACCGTGAAACAAAATTTTTAAAAAGGGACAGGGAACCAAACCAAATGTCCTGTTTTTGAAAATACTGGTTATGTATGTAAATCATAGCAATGCTAATCAAGAAGAAAATTAAATGAAGATTGAAACTAAAACCACTCTGAAGTTCATGGAAGGTATGCCCAGATAGAAGTATTCAGGCTCGGCAAGAGGAAGGATGGGGCAGAGCATCAGCTGAGGCTGCCTCAGAAGAAAGGTGGATGGACCAGGGCAGCCAGGAGAGGAAGGTCCTGATCAGGGTGGTGGGGACCAGGCATTCTGGATCCTTGGACTTCTCCTCAGCCCTTTAGGTAGTAAGATTCAACCATGAGTTGTGGCATTCAGAACACATATAGCAGTCTTAAGTGTATACTGGATTTTTTTCACTCTTCACCACCACTCTACCTCACAAGGTTTCCCTTGTCTTCTGAAATCTATCACTGAAGATGTCTCACCCAGTGGCTGTACACAGCAAGGTTCCTATAACTGGCTGTGCTGTGAAGTTGTATATTCAATCTGTTCCAGGATATAGCATTTCTTATATTTAGGGTTTTTGTTTTTGTTGTTGATTTGTTTCAATGAGGAACAGAGTTTGTAATCCTGTTCCAGATATTTGGGGTTTTAGAAAACCTTTGCAGACTCCCAGCAAGGTAGCTCCTGGCATCTGGGTGTGGAGTCAATCAGGTCTAGGTTCTTCAGGAGGTGAAGAGAAGTGGAGAATATGTGTCCCATGATTAGGACTGAGGACCAGGTGAATGTTTGTCTATTGCTTGGCCAACAGAGAAAATGTCTACTGCAGCACAAGGGATCCTGGTCACAAAATTTCATCAATCTATTCTATCCGGTGATTCAGGGAGGGGCCAGGCACAAGAGGAGAAGTTAACAAGGGGTAAGTAGGGGCAGTATCCAAGGGTAGGAGTATGACAACTTCTTGATCTGGATGGTCTTAATTGAGAAGAGGCACAGGGAGTGATATTTAAAAGTAGCTAATCTTGGGGCTTTGTAAATAAGCAACCTTCATATAAGATTGCCTAAACCCCTTAGAAACAGTTTTCAGGCTATAGATGACTGGAGTTAATTCAACACAAGTTACACAATTACTGTGGACAATGACTAGGCTGATTGCTTCAGAGATATAATATTATGGCAATGAAGGTTTGAGGAATGAGATCAATTGCACTTAGTATTCTTTGGTCTACACTTGAGATCCTGGCTCCAGGTCTCAGACCAAGCTACATCTCTGTGTCCTTAGGAAATGAAATGATGTGCTAGTAATAGAAAAAACTGTTGAAGCAGCAGTTTTGCCTGGATGAGGAATATTTTTCATATCCACTTCCACTCCATCCTTAGTCCAATCTCAATTTGGCAAGAGCTGTTACACGGCAGCAGAAGCATTAGCCATTCTTAGGCTTTCTTATTAGATGAAGTAGTGGGCAAATCTGAGACCTTTTCACAGACGTTATGAAGAAAAAAAAATAATAAAAGCAAAAAAGCAACCAAAACAAAAATCCTAAAGTTGAGAACCAACCTAAAATGGAACAGATAGTGAGCTCATCATCACAATCAGATTAGAAGAACCTTGTTCTCTATAGCTGGTGGGTGAGACATCTTTAGTGCCAGACCACAGGACAGGATGAAAGCTTCAAGTAATGCAGGCTGAATTGTTTTTTATTTTTTCTTAACATGGCCTGCAGTCACACTTACCCCTCTAAGTATGCCATTTGGAGCAATCTAGAACCATCCATAGAATTAAGCAGAGAAAATTATGTCTTTTTTAATTAACCACATTTTATCTAGCGCTGATATACTTAACTTTGTGCTGAGCACTTTTACATAGCTTCTCATTTAAATCTGCAAACATCTGTAGGATGTAGGAACTAATACCTCCATTTCACCAATGAGCAAATTTAGGCTTGGAGAGTTTGCATAATTTGACCAAGGTATAATGGCCAGCAAGTGACAGAGTACGATTTTCATCCTAGGGAGTATGAACATTGAAACAATACTTCTCACTCTTTGCTATCCTGCCTTTTGATATAGGACCAACCACACATTTTTTGAATGGGGTACATAAAAGTATACAGGATTTTTATGGTATATTCAGTAGAATGAGAAAGTATGGTTTCCTTATAATAGTTCAACCAATGTTCCCAAGGCTGAGTGGTACCACCAAGGTGCAAAGGGCTTCTTGTGAAGGGTGTTCTCAGATGGCTGGGAAAACATGCACATGCCCAAATGCCAGATGAAATCATGCAAACCACCCATGCTACAGAAAGAGTAACTAAACAGATATGACACAGGAATGGAAGGTAATGAATGCTGACTCCTTATATTCAGGTTTACCCAACCAGATCATTAAATGTTATATGATATTGTAACATCTGAATCAGCCAGTGGAGGGCACATGCAGCAGCAATACACAGAAATCAAAAAGTATTAGAGCTCAGATCCTGACTGTGCAGAGTAAGTACCTCCCTTTGTATCATAAAAATGGAACAAGCGAAGCTCCTAACATTTTGTTTCTTAAAAACAGTATCCATAGTTGTTTGCTTGACTATTAATTTTGGGCTAGAAGGACACCTGGGAGTCACAGCTGGAAAGATCTGGACTTAAATTTATCATATAGTTGCTATGTGCTCTTGGATAAAATATTTAATCTCATTTAAGTTATACCAACTGTCTTGTGTCGAATAGATATTTGCTCTATTTTACAAATAGAGAGATATACTCACATAATAAATAATATTCATTTTTTATAGTTCTATAGTACATACTATGTTCATTAAAAACTGCTTTCTAAAGGAAAAAAAGCTTCCTATTGTTTGTAATGTCTTGGTAATACATCATGAAAAGGGAGTTAGCTGTGATGGAGAATCAGAAAAACTTATTTGGAGGATATTTGTCTATAATGTAGCCCCAAATATTACTTGTAGTTATTGATTTTATTAACTGAACCTAGCTCAATGGGAAATCCAGGCTAAATTTTTGAGAATTTAGGGATGATAAAAATTTCCAAACATTTTATCTGCTATGGAAAGTGTTAATGTTGTTCTCTATTGATCCTATTTTTCTAAAACTATTAATGTATTTCGTCAACCACAAGGATGCTGCATTCTTATTTTCTCTAGGCACTATACTGAGGCAAAATGTGACATATTTAAACTCAAGAGATTCTTGTTTCATTCAATAATTGTTAGCAACTGAGATAGAAGACAAATTCTTTCCTCTGATTTATCATTCATTCATGGAACTGTGGATGTGTGCATCACAGGTATGGATCATACACTTGATTGAAGGCCATGAGCAAGAGACATATACTTGAGTACATACAATAAAAGCATAGGTGGTATTTGAATTGCCATTTTAGTTCATCATAGGTCAGTATGGGAAATTCTATGAAAGCTCAGAAAAAAGATAACTAACTTAGCCTTGGAATGGGATGAGGGAGAAGTGAGATCAGAGGAGACTGCCCAGAGGAGGTACCACATGAACTGATGCCAGAATGATGAACAGAAATTAGTAAGTCAAAGCGGTTTGAGGAGAAAGGAAGGTGGAATAGGGTAACTTTATCAGATCTCAGTTTTCTGGTCCCAAGAATACCATAAAGCTGAGAACATTCCCAGTCATTACCAAAACCAAAGATGAGAAAAAATCTTACAGGATTGCATCCTTCTCTTACATCACTTTGTGCATTAACAGGAAAGAAGTCTCATCTGAGATGCTGGGGCCACTCTACAACCAAACGATGGACACCTCTGCCACATTCTTCCTCGCAGGTATTCCAGGATTGCAGTCTTCCTATTTCTGGCTGGCTATCTTACTGAGTGCCATGTACACCATAGCCCTGATAGGAAACACCCTCATCATGACTGTAGTCTGGATGGATTCCACTCTACAAGAGCCCATGTATAGCTTCCTGTGTGTTCTGGCTGCCGTGGACATTGTTATGGCCTCATCTGTGGTACCCAAGATGGTGAGCATCTTCTGCTCAGGAGACAGTTCTATCAGCTTTAATGCTTGTTTCACTCAGATGTATTTTGTCCATGCAGCCACAGCTATGGAAACAGGTCTGCTGCTGGCCATGGCTTTTGACCGCTATGTTGCCATCTGCAAGCCCCTACACTACAAGAGAATACTCACACCCCAAGTGACTCTGGGAATCAGTGTGACCATCACCATCAGAGCTGTCACAGCCATGACACCACTGAGTTGGATGGTGAGCCATCTTCCTTTCTGTGGCTCCAATGTGGTTTCCCACTCCTACTGTGAGCACATAGCTGTGGCCAAGTTAGCATGTGCTGACTTCATGCCCAGCAGTCTCTACGGTCTGGTTGTTTCCTCCATTATTGTGGGCTCTGATGTGGTCTTCATTGCTGCCTCCTATATCTTGATTCTTAGGGCAGTGTTTGGTCTCTCCTCAAGGAATGCTCAGTTGAAAGCATTAAGCACATGTGGCTCCCATGTGGGAGTTATGGCTCTGTACTATCTACCTGGGATAGTATCTGTCTATGTAGCCTGGCTAGGGCAGGATGTAGTGCCCTTGCACACCCAGGTGCTGTTAGCTGACTTGTACCTGGTCATCCCACCCACTTTAAACCCCATCATCTATGGGATGAGGACCAAACAAATGAGGGAGAGAATATGGAGTTTGCTGATGCATTGGCTCTTTGGCCATTCCAACCTGCGTTCATGAAAACACAACCTCTGTTCAGACCTTGAGCATTCTAGCCACCTTCAAAGATGTCTTAGAGATTGGTGGAGCTGCATTGGTTACATTGGTGCTACTGGAATTCTCAAATGAATCTGTAAAGGGTATCCTTGTGTAGCATTTCAATTCCTAGCAAGAATGTGAATGAAATATTTCTGATATTCTGAACACATTTTCAATGGTTTTAGTAAGCCAGTCCTGAATCAGAGACACCTGTGGGCAGAGAATACAGGTTTGGGATTTTTCTTTCTTTAGCTTCTGACACACATTTCCAACCTAATTCCTACCAAGTTTATCTGCCAAAGAAATCAACTGTTTTGTATCCCTGCACAAACCTGGCTGATTTTCTCAGAACTGCTCCTCACCTCATGTGATTATATGGAGTAAGAATTAGAATATGACCCTGCCCTCTGGTCCAGTGATGAATCTATTCAATTTGACTCATGTGCTCACACCTACATGAGAGTCATCCAGTCAACAAGAATTCCAGTTTATCTGGGGAGACTTGGAATCAGAGATGGTGGTCATTTTATAATGCATGGACCTGGAAAGAGGAAACTGGCCCACATTAGCATGATGGGATGAAAAGAATAAGCCTCTTGTTCTCTGATTCCAATTCACTTTGGAAACTCAGGTACATCCTTTAAGTTCTATAAAATATCTCTATATCCTATTAATTTATCCTCTATTGCTAAGCTAGCTGGAGTTAGTGTAACAAAAAGTTAATAGCTTTTTGTGTTTAAGCAACAAACACTATGTCCACGTGACTTTGGTTTTGGAAAGCTCTTTTTGCTTCATAGTCCTGCTCCTCTTAACTTTTCCTTAAGGCATACAAGACAAGGATTGAATATAACATTAGTTTTCTTCTTCTGGGCACCTCTTAGGAGGTGTGCTCTCAGATGTGAAGGTTAACAGAGAACAATATAGATGAAGAAGTTGAAATGTCCTTACTCTGGATGATTATATGATTTTCGTTTTTGTTTTTTCCCCTTTTCAGAAAGTCTTAAAGTGAGTAATTCATATACATTAAAGGAAAAAGATCTCATATATGAGTAGTAGTTATATTTGACTTGGAATTGAAAATCTTAATAAATTGATAATTTCCTAGTGTTGATTTTCAAAGTGCAAGAAGAAACTATGTCAATAGCAAGTTATAGTATCTAAGTCTTAACATTGCCTTTCTACTAATAGGGGATATGATGTTAATTAATAGAGGGTATTGTAGGTTAAAAAAATAATGAATGGAAAGCATATAACATAACCTCTGACATATTGTATGTACTTAAAAATATATTTAATACATTTCTAATTCCATAGTTTTAAGGAATAGTCTTATATAGATCCATTATCATATAACACTTTTAAATACACCAGCTGCTTAACAACTTAGTATCCATCCATCTCTTTTGCTAATATTGGACTTGTTTACCTACCAAGAATGTATTCTATTTCTGAAGACTAGCAGAGTAGGAATCATACTATTAAAAATTTGATAATGATACACTGAGGTCCCAAAGAGCAGTAAAAAGAAACTCTTTTTCCCTTGTAAACCTTTACATACAAACAAACAAAAGGTTGTTAAATGTATTTGGTAAGATACTCATTTTGAAAAGTCACATTATTCTTTTTCCATAAGCAACCTAACAAGTTGACTATGTCCATTAAATCAATGAATATTAGCTGCATTAAAGAGTCAGATGTAAGGCAACAAATGTATAGTCTTGCCTACATCCAAAACAGAAATTTCTTCCTAGCATTTATATTGGGAAGTCTGTCCTACCGGCTCTGTGTTTCATCTTCAGAGGAATTCCCTGAAATGAGATGGAACTCACTGTTAGCACTTGAATGCTTACTGAACTACATACATAAAGTGTACTGGTTCCTTGCCATGGCTACCCCCAAACAAAAGTCCCGTGCCTCTCATAAGACACTGAGACACGGCCTCTGCCCTGACACATGAAATAAAGTGTGTTCACTTACCTAGGGCCTGGGACACACAGTAGACCCTTAATGTTTGGATTTTAAGAGATTCAACCAACCTTGCTTGAAAAAGGGCAGACTGGATTTCCTGTGGGGAGTTTTAAACTCATGGATTTGCCCTTCCATGTTTTTCTTTTGCAAGACCCAACCCTTTTAATCCTTTTAGCTCCCTTCACCCTTAATGGTCAGGCATAGCAGCCCTCGGTTTCTCTGCTAGTAACAAAGGATGAGAAAAGCTCATTTCTGCCTCGTAATGAGTAAGTGCAAGATGTTGGGGATGCCACCCTGGGCATCACGGGGAGCCATGCAGCCACCACCTCAGCGTGGCTGCCTGCCTCCTCCCCTTCTGGACCATGTTTGAAAGTCACAGTAGAAGAAATGATCCATTAAATTCTATTTGAACATATGGGTAATTAAGTATCGTCTAGTTTTTACTGCCCCATTTAGGCAGGAAGAGCTTTTTTTCTGTTTTGATTCTAGACATATCGATGAATGTTCCCTCACTTAAATATTTAAAAAATGGGGCTTAGGGGGGGTTGGGAGGGGTGGAGGGGGGACCATTCCCAGGATACAATGGTGAACCAGAAAAACACGGCCCTTTTCTTCATGTAGTTTTTAGAAGGGGATATAAAAAAACCACCCTTTAGAAAGTCATTTTCATGCACTAAAAAACTTCAACCTTATTGCCTGGGCTTAAAAATCAGACAATGTGAATTAACATGGCATCGTTTAACCTTGTAATTCTTCTAACAAGTAATCATGGTACCCAAATCAGCTTATAAATATACTAAACAAACCCAAAATAGTACATTATAAATGAATGTATTTCATTCCTTAATTCATTCCAGGTTTGAATGAATTTAATATCTAATAATCCTCTTTTGCTAGGAATTTTCCAAAATGTGTTCTAATAAGACCATGGTAAAAGAACAATATTGATTTATCCTGGCTCTCCTCTAAGTGTCCAGGGACATAACTAGAAGTGCTTTTTAATGACCTCTTTCTCAACTCTATTCCCCAGGGGCTTGCCCCACAAATAGATACCTGGTCCCTCTAATGTAGGAAGGCTCCACCCTTTGCCAGGACCAGGTCTGTGAGTCACCAGCTCATTCCCCACCAACCGGCTGATGGAAATGTCTCCCCTTCTACTGCGAATTCTCAAGGAATAACTTGAAAGCTCAGTGGCTAGAATGAGTTTATGTCTTCATTTTTGCTTGTTTTACCTCCTTCATTCAGGAACAGCCAATTCAATTCAAGTAGAAACACAATTTTGAATACTCTTCACCATTGCCAATTGAAGCTACTTTGCTTCTGCCTATACTTAATCTTGGATCTATTTTGTTGCCCAATCCTAACGCAATGATCACTATCTTTAAGCCTGAATTCCATGAGAGATTGTGTTACGCAGAATCATGGTGACGACACAAGGTGTCGTACGTAATGTAGCCCCTTGCAATAAGCAGAGCCATTAATTCTCATATGCTTCCCTCACAGTGCATTTCCAGCTACAATCACTCCCACATCACATCCTTAAGACTTTTAGTAAATTATTTTGGTACAACCTTTTCTGCCACATATAACAATCACTCTATGGTTAATTGTCCAGAGACATAGCCTTGATTCCCTTTCATTATAACATATGACTCCAAAGCTGGCTTTTTGGCATCTAGTCCCATTCTTTTCCCCTGCATTTCTCTCCCCTATTCCTCTCTCTGTCACTGATTCAGAGAAGAGAAACACAGGGGAAATATTACGCAGTTTCTAGAACCATGAAGATTCTCTTGAACATCAAGAGATCCAAATGTTAGCCCAACTAGCTGGTGCGAGAGCCTTTCTTCTTGTTCTCTTATTCTACTTTTTTATTATCTCCATCTTTCGCTTTGACGCGACAGTCCATGTTCTAATCCAAAACCAAACACATGTAGTCAGATGCACAATGTTCTACTGCAGCCCAGTGTGCTACTGGTATGGGCACCTTTCTGCCTGCAGGGCTCTAGACTGTCAGGAGAGCCCCTAACAGACAAAGGCTCTGTTGTAAAGATGTTAGACATGATGGGAAGGTTACCATACACCTGCCTGCCTCTATCCCAGAGAAAGGAGCACAAGCATAGGATGGATCTGGGATCTGTACAACAATCCTATCTGGCAGAATATGTGATTTTATGTTGAATTACACCAATTTTTCCAATGAGAACACTTAAACCTTTCAAATAAGTGAGATGTTTCAGACCCAAATGTAATGAAAGATATGCAGACACGTAACCTGAGAAGTGGGTTTATCATCTTGTTTCATTTGAATGTGAAAAATACTTTATAATTTTCATAATCTTATCTTTAACAGTCTTATAAGAAATAACTTGCTTCATTAAAACCATTTTTTGTTTCTTCATCCATAAAGTGAAAATACAAAAACTAAGGCTCACAGGTTTTCTGATCCTTCCACTAAGGGCAGGACTTGGACACTGGTCTCCTTAGAGTTTGAGAAACAGTGATCTTCCCAGCTTGTGCTCAGAGAGGAGATGGCAGAGGGTGGTCTGGGCAGGTCCTGTATTCTCTGCTGCACTAAATTTCTCTAGTCAGTGGGTCAGAGAGTTGGGTCAAATATAGGGTGCTCGGTTGCAACAAACCTCAGGGAAAGCAGCCCTTGAGTGGTCTCAGCATAGCAACCAGCTCTGGATATGAATAGTGTTCTTTTGGCTTGTTGGTAAACCCTATTTAAAGGTTTTATGAAGACTGTATCCACTCCATCATCCTCACTGGCATCAGATAGAAACCAGGGAAGAGGGGTGTGAGCTAGAGAACAGAGAACCCCAGCAAGTTGCCTTAAGACTGCTCTGATCCTCACTGATAGCCTTATCACGTCTCCCTCATGGGACGCAGCACTCATATGACTAGGTTCCTGCTTTTTTACATGAGTGCTTTAGTGACAGACGCTGGCCTAGTAGCAAAAGACCACTGGGTCAGGCAGAGTATCCCTGGATCTAGGCTCAGCTCAGTTCAAGGGGACACTTGTCAGGGGCAGGGTCCTCCAAGACCTCAGCAGGCCAGGACAAACTGTGAGGCTTCTGGCCAGGATGGTAGCTCTCTTAGTTGTCCCTGTCCAGGGAGCAGATGGCCAGAGGAGCGGTGTTATTAGCCCCAATGCTGTAGCAGGGACTAAAATAGGGCAGGAGGCGCCCAGGGAAGGGATAGCGGGGAAAAGTGAAAATGTGGGAGCCACTGTCAGTCACATTGTAGAAGGAGATGTCATGAGCCTCATAATCCAGGAAGACTCCCACCCGGCGAGGAGGGACTGGCAGGGACAGGAGCGGGTACTCATCGGTGCCTGCTCGGTACTCATCTCCCTTCCTCAGCCTTATCACCCAGAACCCATAGTGTGGGGATAAATGGACCACCTCCTTCCAGTCCACGCTTTCCTTACAAACCCCCAGGCCCCATTCAGACCTTTTGCCCACCTCCACCTCCCAGTAGTGCCGGCCTGAGGAGATGCTCTGGCTGCCCAGGACAATGTTGTAGCGGTAAAACCTCTCGGGATTGTCAGGCACGTTCTGCTCGGTGTCTCCATAGTGCACACGTTTTCTGTCCTCGGACACGATGAGGCGTGAATAAGCAGTGTCAGGATCCAGGCACACATCAGCTAGGGAAAAAGGTCCGAGCTGGTAACATTGATATGGAGTCGGGGGCACAAGTGAGGTCTCTCTGGTAAATACAGCCACAGATTTCCCAATGATGGGGGAGGAAGCTAGAGGGGGCATCCAGAGGGTACCTCTCACCGCCCCCCACAGTCCCCCAGCATCCATTACCTGCATAAGTCTTCAGGATTCCTCTTAGCCCCAGCACACGGCAATCTGTCTTCAGCTCCAGGGACACTGGTTCTGGCTGATGCAGGCTCCAAGACTTGCTCCTGGTAGAAGATGGGGAGCCTTGTGGCCAGGAGTCCTGGCTCTGCCACACGGGCCTTCACTGAGTCTGGGGAAGAGGGGCTTGGCCAGGGACATAGTGAAATGCCCCTCCCCGGCAAGGCACAGATGTGATGATTATATGGCTGAGCCTCAAACTGTGTGCAGAGGCTAGAACGCCTACATCCCCGTACTGTGGGGAGGGTCAGACATGCATGTGACACTGGGAGAGGAAGTGCCACAAATGAGAAAAGCTGAAACTCAGAGCTGGGAGCCACTGGGTAGTCTTTTTCCTTCCTTGAGTGATCTACTTGAAACCATATATTTTATAACTTTACCTGAAATTCTTTATGGTTATACCTGTACCTAAACTGAGTTTGATCAATTTTTCAAAAAGAAGAAAAATGAATGATCAACAAAACTTCTTTAGGCAATACATGTAAGAGGGACAAGACTGTGGACCAGCACCTGCTTCTCTGTAGGAACTGGGTCACCTTCCCGACTTCTGGCTCTGCCTAGGACCCACTATCTCTTATAGCGCTGCCTCGAGGCTTCAAGGATGGGACATACCTGTGTAAGATTTCCTCAATACCCTAGAAGAAGGAAGAAAATGCATCACATGAGTAAGTGTTGTCTCTCAGAGGGACCAGACAGATACCAAACTCTGAGAGGAGGTTTCTCTACGGGAAGGGAGGAAGATGCCAAGGCAGGAGAGAGGCCTTGCAGAGGTAGGTACAGGGGAGAAGCCCACATAAGGACAGCAGAGCAGGCTGGGCTTTGGCCCGACTGGCTGACTCAGGCTCCACCTCCAGACTCTCGGGGTCAGAGGGGAGGGCCTGGAGCTGCCTGAGTGCTGCCCCACCTATGAGGCTACTCCGGGCCAGGTCACCCATCAGTCAGGGAGAGGAGAACAGCAGGGATTAGCAGGGAGCACATGTGATCCGTGACCAGCTGGCAGAGTGCCGACAGACCCCACTGAATACCTGCTGATCCTCTCTCTAGGAGTCCCAGTCTGTCTCCAGCCCTCATTCAGGGTTCCCAGGGAAACCTGCTCCTCACCTGCAGCATCCAGCGGACAGGCCACTGGGACCTCTCTTCCAGCTCTGCGATCATCCGCAACAGGGCCCGGCTCTGCTGAGTGAGCTGCTCATGGTTCGACTGCAGTTTCTGCAGGGTCTCCCCTTCCTCCTGCTCCAGGCTGGCCAGAGCTGCCTTTGCCTCTCCCTCCAGCTGCCGCCCTGGTGGCTCTTTTTGCATTAGTAATCGCCTGTATTTCTGAAACTCCCATATGATACTCTGCTTTCGGGTTTCAACTCGTATCTGTGGAGTCAAGATGGAAACCAGCACTGGTATTTGTAGTGTAAGGGTCACCCAGAACTGAGGACACTGGCACATGCCTACATGCATACCCTGAACGTTTTGTGACCAACCATGTGCCAGGCACTGTAGAGACAAGATAAAGGATGCTTTTTTTCTTTTTCTGTTCCTGCAGCTACACTGGATGCTTCTGGTTCCCACTGCCACTCTTCCTGACACCAGTAGTGTCCAGGATGTTATCTTGGTACTATTTGCTCTAGACTAGTTTCCATTTTCAGAATAACGACCAGATGTGTTACACTGAAGTCTCTAAGGCAGTGTAACTTAACAATACTGTTAGATGGCTTTTCTTCTTGCTTGTATTATATCTATTCAATGTGCTTTTTTTTACATTGGTTCAATATTAGCTTTTATTGATCAAAAGTTCTGATGGTTTGGTACTCATTAGCCTGGAATTTATTTCAGAAGTGATTTTCCAATATTTTAATAACTGAACTCTTAGCAAATATGCTCTAATTGGAAAAAGTGACACAGAAATCATTATATGAGTCACACTGCTGTGAGCTGGCATGTACATGAGACACGCACTTTTCTTACTCATACATGAGGACATAGACCACAGGTTACCTCTACCTCTGATCAAGACACTGGAAATGAGAGGTTAGGTGGCCTGCCTGAGGCCAAGCGTCTGGTAAGGGGAAAGCTGGTGTTGGAGCCCCAGGCTCTCTGACTTCAAACCCCATATTCTGCTTCGCAGAGATGAGGAAGCTACCAGGGGCCAGCTACAGGACAACACAGGGGCAACACAAACTCCTCTCCCAGGAGACACCTGCCTTCCAGTCAGCAGTTCGTTTTCTCTCACCAACTTCCAGGCCTCTTCTTGCTCTTTCTTGAGATGTTCTAGAGCCTCATGGAGTTTCCACTGCAAGAGATAAAAACCTCATGAGGCCAGCTCAGGCAGCCTGGGTTTCCTAGCACTGGTAGGTTCTGGGAAGACCAGTGTCCCTCAGGTTGTGGGCCAGAATTAATGCCACAGAGGGAGCAGACTCTGCCTTGGTGACATCCAAGGTCGCTCTTTGAGCTGAGAATCATTTCAACTACCACAGTCTCCAAATGTCTGCAAGGTAGAAGAAAAGGTCCATTCCTAACCTTTCCAGAAAACCACCTTGAACTTTCCTATCCATGCCTATCTTTATCCTTATCCACCATGTTATCCTACAGTCTCCTAGAACCTGGTTCCTCAAAGTGTGGTCCAAGTGGGTCAGCAGCAGAGGCATCACCTGGGAGCTTGTCAGAAATGCAGAATCTTGGGCCTCACCCGAGACCTGCCTGAGACCTGAATAAGAATCTGAATTTTAGCCAGATCCCCGCGTGGTTCCCACATGCACATTAAAGGTAACAAGCACTATCCTAGGAATGCATGAGATTTCTACTGGAAAACATAAAACATTCAGACAACACTTTTAATTCTGCTAATGGCAACCATTTTGTTTAAATTTACCAAGTATCAGACATGGCTTAAACATTAAACATAAATATAATACTTATAATCTCTTGAGATTGGTATTATCCCTATTTTATAGACAAAAAAAACCCTGAGGCTTAGACAGTGACCTACCCAAAGCCATTCGGCTAGCAAATGGTTGCTTAACCCCCATGCTATACTATCTTCCTATTTAACACTCTCAAAACAAAGTGAGCTAGTAAATACTTTTATTTTTTTAGAAATTCTTCCCATATAGACAAAAAAAAAAAACCCACAAACTAATTAAGGGGATTTGTCTTACATTGTTACCATCTAATCTCAACTCTAAGAAGGAGAATTAAAACCTGCACTGGATCACTGGATCGCAGGATCATGAGGATAATGGTTCTGATAAAGACATGTCAGCATGGGAGCCTGAGGAAAGAGCAGCAAGAGGCCTGGACACTGGAAGCTGACGAAGTTAGCAATGAAAAAGGAGTAGCAGGTTGTGTCAGAGAAGACTTGTCCAAAAAAATAAAATAAACAAACAAAAAACAACTTGGAAAAGGAGATAGAAAACAGGAAAAAGAGCAAGATGACCTGAGTCATAGCTGCTGATCTTCCTTCACCTCAAGTCATAGGGACCTGAGACCATTACAGTAGAAAACCTCACTCAATCCTAAGCGCTCACCCATGGTTCCTTTTAGCTCTAATATCACTTACCAGGATCGTAAATTTTTAAGCCTCAGTTTTGTCTATAAAATGAAGGAGTAAAAGTGACTCACTCAACGTCAAATGACTATTTGTGGCATTGCTGGAAGGAATTTGCAGGTTAGGTGCAGCCTTCACTACCTATATAACACCCTCATCCCCAAACTCATTCTAGGCATCCAGAACCCTAGTTAAAACAAACTCGTCTCCTTCAAATTCTCAGTATTGAAATCATTTTGAGTTAGGCATTAAGACATGCTGGGATCTGGGATGGGGTAAGGAAGAAGTGGGAGGAAAGGAAATCAAAGAAGGTCATGAATACAAGGAAAGGTGTAGCTCCCTGTATCAGATCCAAAGGTTCCGGGGGTGTCAGGAGCCAAAGCCCTGAGTCTCTGGCACTGGTGGCGAAGCCTTTGATCAGAGATGGCCAAGCGAGGGGCAGAGGAAAAAGTGGAGTGGCCAGCCCCCATCTCCCACCTTATACTCCCAGGCAACATCCTCCACAGGCATGACACTGTGGGCCTCATGCTCCGGGGACCGGCTGCAGGCCTCACACATTACCAGGCCGTCGTCTTTGCAGAACACCTTTGGCTGTTCCCCATGGCGCTCACACACATCACCCTTCGGCCCCATTCCTAGATGTAGCCTTAGCAGACGGACTTTTTCTACAACACTGGCCAGCTGCCAATTAGGACTCAGGTTCCTTAGCTGGGCAGGAGCTCGACAGAGGGGACAGGTGTAACCCCAGTTCTGGGGTTCTCCTGGGAAGTCCCAGAGTTCAGAGAGACAGCTATGGCAGAAGCTGTGGCCACAGTCGATGCTCATGGGCTCCCTCAGGAAGGTCATGCAGATGGGACAGACTACTTCTTCCACAACGGCTTCCACCAAGGCTGTGGGATCCATTGTTCCTTCTTATGTCCTCCTCAGAACATGAATATAACCAAGGAGAAGTTGTGAAGGCTGAAAAGAAAAAGAAATAAGAGAAAAAGAAATAAGAGAAAAAGGTGACAGGAGAACAGAGAAATCAGTAAAAGGTATAATTAATGACTGAAAAAAAAATTACAAAAACTTCTTCCTTTTGACCCCTTATCAACTTTGTTTAATTGGCATTTGCCTTCCCACTGAAGTTCTGATTTGTTCACATCACTCACACCACAGAGGAGACACAAGGGGATGTCTAAGCAAGTGCATGCTTGGAATTCTCAGTTCTCATTCATTTTATTGACCCTGAGTCTCCTCTGGGTTTGCTCTACCAGACCATTCCCACTCCGGCCAATGCTCTACAAGTCAACCTTGTTTCTTACTTGGGTATGGTCATACAAAATGTGGTGTTTCAGTATCCAAAGTAAGGCCACAAATACCTACAGCCTCACTCTCTGGTATATTTACATTTATATTTACAAACTTCAAGGTGCAAAAGGATAATATGTCAGAATACCACTCTCATCATATGCTCAATTTGTTTTGTTGTGTTGCACCCTAAAGTGTACAGTATAAGAGAAACAGGAGTTCTTGCCCCAGGCCCTGTAAACCCCTGCCCACTTCTACCTAGGGTTGTGAAATAAACTGAGTTAATCCATGAAAAGCACTCAGCACAGTGCCTGGCAGATAGTGTAAGTGCCTGAGGAGTGCTTGCTATTATTATTAATATATAATATGCTCTCAGTTACCTAACAATTTATAAAAGCACTTCAGGTATAGGAACCATTTTCTATGTCTAACACTAGACATATTTAGCACTAACATATTTATTATTTACCAAGATGCCAAGGCTCTCTCCTCAGCCTTTAGTGATATATTAGAAGCAGAGATGAAATAAAACACCTTGGAAGATAAAGAACAAAGATCATTTGATGACAAACCCATGTTGATGGTCACTTTTCCAGTTAGAAACCTGAGATTCTGGCAGGGCTACATATGGGTATGGAACTTGAATGGTGAGTGGCAGGCTCTTCAATGAATATTTATTCATTCAATTTGTAAGTCTGCGTTACCAGCTAGAGTTTGTGAAAGGAAGAGCCATGCTGGTCTCAGTTACTGCTATATCCTTAGCACCTAAGCAGGGCCTGCTATGAATACAGTCTTGGAAAAAAATTTGTTGAATGAATAAACCAGCTAGACACGGAAAACAGTTCCTAAACCCAAAGTGCTTTTATAAATTGTTAGGTAACTGAGGGCATATTTATTATACATTCATAATAATAGCAAGCACTCCTCAAGCACTTACGCTACCTGCCAGGCACTGTTCTGAGTGCTTTTCATAGATTAACTCAGTTTATTTCACAACCGTAGATAGAAACCATTATTCTCACTTCACATGTGCTGGGCCAGGGGTTCTACCATTCTATATTGGGCAAATTACTTAACCTCTTTAGCCTCAAGGTACAATACAAATTCAGGAGAAGAGAAATCACTGTGGTTTAGAGTAGTCCAGTAGGGATGCCTGCAGGAATCAGGGCAGTAGATCTTGCAGGACTCTGTTACAGACCAGTGGCAAGGCATGCCTTCTCACTGGGCTCCCTGCCTGCTTTTCTTCCTCACACCATCACTACCAAACTGTGGGATCTTGTATTCTAAAACTTAGTTTTCCTAAATCACTAACCCACTCAAGATCCCATCTTGGCTCTCTAATAGGAAGCTCTCTCCCTTCACCCTTGCAACAGCATCTATGCCTAGCCAAGCAAAGGGATAAACTTCCACACTTTCCTGCAAACCCCATGTCCATTCATTTTTCCCCACTTGAGTTCCTGCTGTTCTCCCAGTTGGGAATGACTTCTCTATGACCCTGCTCTTGACATCATTTGCCATGTATCTGTTTATTGTCTAACCTCTCAAACTAAAAGTTGCTTGTGGATAGGGACATTGTTCACTTCTATTATCCCAACAGCAGGAACAGTACCTCAAATATTTGTTGAATATGTGAGAATTAAATGTAAATGTTCAAGTCCAGCAGATGGTAGGTTGGAAGAGGAGGAAATATTAATATCCTCATTTAAAGACTAACATCGACGGAACAATAAAGTTTGATACCTATTATTTATTTAAAGTAACAAAGCTCAACAGGAGAACCAAAATAGCAATCGAAAATAGAGAAGATTGTGGAAGTAAGATAAGTGAGGCAAAAAAGCATCAAAATGATATATCTAGAAATGGGGTGGAAGCATATTATTCTGATTTAGGGTCATGGAAAGACCTAAAGATAGAAAAGATAAAAGCAGCGGCCTCAGCAAAGAGGATTTGGAGATGAGTAGTTACTGCTCTTCAAAATAAGGCCTGCTTTAAGGTTCGATTCTTTTTTATTATACATAAATTACTTTGAGAAAACTTAGGTAATTAAACGTTTAGCTGCTCTGACAGTGCCTTTGGCAGGGCGGGCAGCCAGCCTGGGAAGGACCTTCCCGGAGAGGGGCGGGGCCTGGGAAGGACTCCGGAGGAAGGACCCAAAAGGGAAGGGGATGGGGTGGGGAAGGAAGTAACCCCCGGGGTCTGGGAGCAACGGGGACGTAACCCCTGCCCTGGGCGCAGGGCGTTGTGCAGGTCCCCAGGGCAGCGCGCGCGCAGCGCCGGCGGCGGTGAGCTTGCAGCACCTGACTTGAGAAGGGGCAGGGCTGCCCACCACCTCCCTCCTCGGCCCGGCCTGCCGCTTCGCAGCGGAAACCGAAAGTGGAGACGCCTGGTTCCACACCGTCCAGTGGCCCCGCAGCGTCAGAAGCACTTACCCGCCAGCGCAGCACTTACCGGCCTGTCCCGCGCCCGAACCCCGGAGCTTTAAGGCCGGCGACCGAGGCCAGGACTGCCACCCGCTCCTCCGCGACTCCGTCCGGGCTCCAGGTCCCGCTCACAGGGCCGGAGCCAATCAGCGGCGGGCAGGATCCGCTGGTGGCGGGAGCAGCCAATCACAGACAGGGTTCAGGATAACCCTAGCCTATTGGAGATGGGCCCGCGCGCGGCGCTTTCAGTTTGCAATGTGTTTTTCTGCTTCCTCAGTTTTTCTTGCCCCTTCTTCACTCAGAGCCACTTAAACTGTAAAGGGGCCCAAGAGCTAGTTCCAGGATGAGTCATAGGATTGAGACTCCGGAATGAGGCCGCTCAGGCCCTGCATTAAGAGAGGCGCAGCCGGCTGTTCATTCGCGTGTTTTCCTTGCTAAACTCGCAGCCTGTGACATCAGCCGGGTGTGGTTCTGTGACCAACTTAGCGCAGGGTTGAGCACACACATGCAATGGATTCTGCAGTTCCCTGCAAGATTTGCGATGTCTCATGGCCCCAGGCTGCAAATACTGGGTTCTCCTTAAAAATCCTATTGAGTTCTCCTGGCAAATTCTTACATTTCAATACTTCAGTAGGCAGCTTCTCATCACTATTGCCACAACCTCCTGGGAAATGGCGTAGAAGTGGAATCCCTGTTCACAAACTGTCTTATACAGTTTTTTTATTTTTTTTATTTTTTTAAACTACTGGTATCCTTCACTCACCCAAACACACAGACACAAGAATGCACAAACAACCGTTACTTAAGATAGTGATTTGAGTTTTTCTTTGTACTACCAGGGCCTTGTACTTTTCCTGATACTTAGTTCTTTACTGAGTAAGCAAGTGAAGGCACATCCTATCTGCACAGAAGATAACCAGGGAATCCTCCAGTTGAAGCCTGGTTCCAAATGACATCTTCACTGCTAGGACTGATACTCTACAAATCCTCATTCCAACATCACAGCCCAGGCCATGGGTGAAATCCTGAAGAGTGAAGGCCAGAAATTTCCTGAAACAAATGGGACTGAAACAACAACAACAAAAAGAAAGAAAGAAAGAAAGAAAGGAAAGAAAGAAAGAAAGAAAGAAAGAAAGAAAGAAAGAAAGAAAGAAAGAAAGAAAGAAAGAAAGAAAGAAAGGAAAGAAAGAAAAGGAAAGAGATACCTGAAGTTTGAGCTGGACTCTCTGCCTCAACTGGAACTGGAGAAATGGCTGCACTAAGGTAATAGTGAATGCATTAATTGAAACAAGCCATTTTAAACATTCATTCAATATCAACTTTTTGGCAACACTTTATACTGGGTGCTGGGATTACAACTGTTGGCCATGCAGTCTCTGCTCTTATGGAGCTCAAGATCAAATTGATTGTACTTCTCTGGAATTTCTGTGAAGTTGAAACAACCGGGAGATCTCGCTCATGTGTAACTTTCAATTTGTAACTATGACTGACTCTCTAGGGCCCTGGCAATAGGGTACCTTAGGGTTGTTGGGGTAAGGGGCTTGTGTTCATGATGGGGAGGCTAGACAGAGCTTTTGAAGACCTGGTGTAGCCACTCTCCTTTTCAGACTCCTTCAGGGTGCTGTTTCATTTAAATGACAAATAAGCACCACAAGCACCAACTCTACATTCACAAACTTTAGAAAACACAAATAAGTCCTCAGAACAAAATGTGGCCACCACATAGCATAATAGCATTTCCTGAGTCAAAGAGAAGTTCAAACCCACATTGCCATCACTGGTAATAGTTCTTAAAGAGAAATTATGTTATCTGAGGAGAGCACAGAATGGAAAAATAAGAGGGAATAAAGAAAGGATTGATAATCTCAGGCTGTCAGAATTGTTTCCTTTGTCAACCTATTCCTGTTGTTTAGTGTCCAGAGCCTGAGAATTAACTCAAGAATATCTCTAATTAAGAAGTTAAGGGTGGTACCATTACTCTCATATAATGTGAGGGGAAAAAAAGTCCATCCGTATAAACAATTTCCTTTTTGTGGGGAATTGTATACAAACCACTTCTTTTTCTCAGACAATTTAGAAATTCTCAATTTACCATTATTTCTCTAAATACTATTATGTATATTATAAAACCTCCACATTATTGTTTCCATCCCTTATGTTCCAAGCACCCCAATGCAGCATTGAGAGTGTGCTCTGCCTGGGAATACAACATCTACATTCTTTTGAGCAGTGTCTTAATCTATTTTCTCTGTTACAACAAAATACCTGAGACTAGTTTATAAAGAACAGAAATCCATTTCTCACAGTTATGGAAGCTGGGAAGTTTAAGATCAAGGCACTGGTAGGTTCAGTGTCTGGTGAAGGCAGAGCCCTCATGACTTAATCACTTTTAAAGGCCCCACCTCTTAACACCATCACACTGGAGCTTAAGTTCCAATATATGAATTTTGGAAAGACACATATATTCAAACCATAGCAAGCAAGATGCAGTACGTTCAACAAAAAACACTTATAAACACAATTAAGCAACCAACATTTTCCATAGTTCTTATTATCTGATATTTCTTTGTATTTCATTTGATCTGCTGCAGGTTTCCAAGGACTTTGTAGCTCCTTGCCAAAGTGGCTATCATAGCTACTTCCTATGCTGGAATTCCTTAGACCTGTGTGTCTGGCTCTCCAGGGGAGGTTGGTCTCCTATTGCTTGCCACATTCATGACAGCTGTAAACTTACCATCAACTGATTCCTGAACCTGAGCTTCTGTTTTATTCCAGAGCCTAAGTCTTAACAGACCTAGAGGGGCCTATTCTTTGAGATGTGAGTATGTGTATATATATATATATATATATATACACATATATATATACATATATATTATATATGTATATATATAATATATATATTCAGATTTTTGGTTTTCTTTACTTAGTTTTTACATTTTCCAGATTGTCTATAAATGTTGTAACCTCTTTTCATGAGTACTAAGCTATGACTCTTTTTTTCTACTGTCAGTTCAAGTAGGTCCAACATTTTTTTCCCCTAAACTTCTAACATTAGCTCCATTTTTTCTCTACCACTTATAGGGGCAACACATTTGCTAGATCAGAATGTATTCCTGGGCTCCCTCATTTTCTTTTTCAGCTCAACCCCTTTCTTCCTTCAATTCTCAATTCACTCTTAGTTTGTCTATTACTAATTTTAAAACTAAAACTGTCTCACAGTTATCTCTCCATATCTCATTAAGGCATTCTGTCATTATTTTACCTGCTTGCTAAAATGATTATGCAACTGACACTGCTGTTTTATAGAAATGTTAAAAAAAAATGAATTAAGTCAAACCAGAATCACCAATGTTTACTTCCTGGGTACTATGATTCAATGTTTTGTAATTCAGCCTATTTAGTGACCTTCAGATAAATATTAACTGAGTAAAAATACAAATGCGCACTTTATTGGCTTCCTCTCCTTTCCTTTCTCATTTCCCCAACCCCTCTACTATTTCATCTTGGAATTACTTCCCAAATAAACTACTTGAACTCACATCTGTATTTTTGTTGTGTTTCTGGAGCATCCAACCTATGACAAGTCAGATTATTGGCTAAGTAAATTCTCAAAGAACTTCTCCCTGCCATTTATGCCACTTTATTCCCTTCTGCGTTTTTGTGCACCAGAACGTCTATTCTTCCCTGGTATCAAGGGTTATTTGCTTTGTGGCCATTTCCAATAGCTTAATAAATAGTTGAAATTGGTATTTCACTGATGCTAAAATTGTAATTTGGGATAAGAGCTGGACCCATATAGAACAGAGACCTATGTAATTAAAACTCTTCTAGATATGGAGAATTATCACATTTATCCAGGCACATAATTTAATTGATTTCCTTAAAACATATAGCATATCTAACCATTGAAACCCATATAAACAGTAGACACTCAAAAGGTCACAATTATTAATGGGTTATGTGCTTCTCACTTTATATGCAGTCCAATTTTTACAGCATCCTTACAAGGATTTATCACATCCATTATACACATAAGGATTCTGGGATGTAGATATGTGTAACCAAGAGCCCAAGCTTAAATCTGAACCCTGGTTTGTAGGAAAGTACTCACTTTTCTCCTATAACTCTAGCATTTTCTTTGCCCAGAGGTTGGGAACATTTCATTTTTGAATATTCTGGCTGAGCGTCTTCACCAAATATTTGTGGATCTTTTGTATCACAGCTACTGATCTTCTGGTTCAAAAGATACATCCATACATACCACACATGCACACACACACATATATACAACATTATATTGTGTGTGCATAAATATACATACATATACACAGTATATTATATGTATATAAATATGTGTATATAAATATACATTTAAAAATATATTATAACATTATTTTAAAAAACTTCATCAAACTCCTCTTAATCAATCCTTTGCTTATTCCTAGTTTTTAAGTGAATAGGCAATCCTGTGTAGTGGAGAGATCTTCAGCTATGTTTCAACTTCAGACGTAGTACCTAACCTCTCCTTCTAGGCCTGTTTTTAAACTAAGGATAAACTACCTATCTCATAAAACTGGTGTTTGTACTAAATAATAATGTATCTGATATACCTACTAATGTATCTATCATGTCTAAGAGTGTTTTGCACAGTTATAAAGGGTAACTGTAAAAGAAGGAAAAACTGCTTGGTATAATGTGGAACAGGATTTGAAACACCTACATAAAAAAAAAATAGACTTCAAATAAAAAAACCTAATGTGATGTACCCCAAAGAACTAGAAATGCAAGAAAAAACCAAATCCAAAATTTGTGAAAGAAAAGAAATAATAAAGATCATAGCAGAAATAAATTAAATTATAACTAAAAATGAAACGCATAAGATTAACAAAATGAAAAGTTGGTTTTAAAATTTTTTTAAAAAAAATATATTGTTAATTAATTAATTTCGAGACAGGGTCTTACTCTCCAAGCTCAATCATAGCTCACTGTGACCTTGAATTCCTGGGCTCAATCAATTTTCTCGCCTCAGCCTCCCCAGTAGCTGGGACTATAGGTGCTCACCACCATCGATATTCCAGATGTATTGGTATGTTGTATCTCCATTTTTATTTGTTTCAAAAAGTT